GTGGCCGGCGTCGACGGGCGGGCGCGGAAGGCCCCGGGGCGAGGCGCTGTGCCGTGCCGGGCAGGTGCCGGGCCGCGCCCGGGCCTCCCCTCACGAAGGGCTCCCCGCTCCAAGGAAGCCCCAGCTTTGTGGGTGCACCCCCCAGGTACAGGGGCGGGCGGCGAAGCGGGAGGTGCAGAGCTGCCTTGTCTGCAGGTGCGGCTCCCCGCACGCTGGCCCAGCTTGGGGACAGCCTGCCCGGATGTCCCCGCCGTCGGAGCGCGGTGGCAGTGGCTTGGGAAATGTCGCCGGGGCCTGGCTGGCTGGTGGGTGGCATCCCTAAGAGGCAAGGGTTGTGGTGTCCAGGCAGAGAGATGGAGAGGAGCGGGGGCCAAGGTGGGGAAGGAACTGCAGCATGGATGGTAGCCATGAGAGGAAGCGAGCAAAGAGCCCGAACAAAGGCAAACGCAAACCAAAGGTGGTCGAGGCAAGAAGAAAGGAAAAATGTAATTAATACAGTGAAAGCAGCTCAGTTTCTAAAAACCACCCTGGGGCCAGCTTCGGTTTCTGCTGCGGGGTGGTCGCCAGCCCCACATCACAGTGAAGCAGCACCAAGGAGGAGCGGAGGTGCTCATAGGGCAGCGGTGAGGAAAGCCGTGTGAGCACAGGAGGTGTGGGAAGGGATATTGGTGCAGCCAGGGAAAGTGAATCACTCTACCAGGTTGAACCGGTGCTAAGGGGAAAAAATACCAGTCGCTGTGGGTGGGGAGCAAACGTCCTGTCAAACTTTCCAGAGAGGTTCCTGTGCTGTGCAGGGGAGGCCTGGGAGGGGAGAGGGGATGTGCTGCCACTCCCAGCATTAATTATTACCCAGCAGGTTGGGGTGGAAGGGGCTGGTGGAGGCCATCCACGTTGAGTTCAGTTTGCATTCCTGGAGTTCGTAATTCCTCCCATCAGAGGACATCCAGCTCTGCTTTAAATTCCTGCTTGTGTGTATGTGGGTACTTCCCCAACTATGCCCAGATGGAAGAAAAAGCCCAAGACTTTTGCTAGCAAGTGGTGGAGGGCGTGAAGCTCCAGATCCTCAGTGTGGGCTGCTGACTTGAGGGCACTAGATGTGGCAGACTTGGAGCCATGGGCGTGCGAGGAGGGACACACATCAGGGTGCTGAGAGACTGCAGCTTAGACAGCAAGGTTGAGTACTTCAGGCCATGGTGTAACATAAAGAGAGCTGCGGTCCCGGCACCCGTGCAGGCTCAGTTCATCTGTCCTGGGCTTCCCCCGCTGATAGCCTGCTTTCCTTCACTGGGGATAAACACCTGTGTCTTACGGGGATGCTGTGTGCAAGCTCTTAGGCTCATGGTGGCCACCTTTCACACCAGCAAAGTCTGGTCTCATCTGCGTCCCTTGTCCCAGCTTCCCATGAACCTGGGGGAGTAGTTCATGACTTGGGACAGCAAAGTTTGTAAATACAGATAACCACGGTGGTGGACCGTGACCTGAACTTACAGACCCGCTTGCCCCAAACCATCAAAGCAGTGTTCAGTGCTGTCAGCAAAGCTTGCCTTCCCGTGCTGTGAATGCACTCATCTCCAAAAAGCTTAGAGCAGCAGAAAAGACTTCTGTTCCCTAAGCTAGCGTAGTAGAGCTGTGTATTTTTTAAATGCTGAATTAAAATAAACAATGCTGCACTCAACAGTCTGCTTGGCTGTATTGTGGGGACAGTTCCTGTAACTCTGTGTGCCCTTGGGGTATCTTACAGAGGTAGTCAGGAATCTTCAGAGGAAAGCTGTTGAGAGGAATGTAAAATATTAGTTGCCAAAGAGCTGCCTTGTTCAGATGCTCTGCCCTGGCTTGCCTGTGTGACACTTGACAGAAACCTCCCCTGAAGAAATAGGTCCCTTCATTAATAGCTGACCTGTAAGTTGCTGCTGCTCAGCATTTTGTGCTGCAACAAGAGACGGGATGGTCCAGCAGGTTGGGCAAATCCTTTTTTTACAAAATCCTTATTTTACAAAATAAACTAAAAATTGTTTCAAGGAAAGATGTTTGGGAGAAAGTTGTGCTTCCCTGCTCAGCTGGACACGGGGCTGTCTTGGCGTGACTGCTGCAGAGCAACTGATGATAATGCCTTTGCTTCTTTTTAATGACCCTGGCTGCAGGGAGGTGCAGAAAGCCGTGAACACCGCCCAGGGGCTCTTCCAGAGGTGGACAGAGCTCTTGCAAGATCCCTCCATTGCCACAAGAGAAGAAATCGACTGGACCACTAATGAGCTCAGGAACAATCTGCGGAGCATCGAGTGGGACCTGGAAGACTTGGATGAAACAATTAATATCCTTTCTGTGGTCCTTTGGAGGTAGAGGCCTGCGGTTCCCAAGTTGTACTAAATAGCTGAGTACCAGTGCTTGCCAGTAGTTACTTTTTGCAGAAATCAGGACTATTTGGGATTGAATTTTGCATTTACATCGGCTTTTCTCAAACTGCAAATGAGAAATGAAGCCAAACGTGCTCAGCAAAAGGATTTTCCTTTTGCCTTTTTGTGTTCCTTTTGACAAGGTATATCCTAAGATGCTTTGTTCTAGAAAGCCTATTGTGTTGTATGAATTCGGATTTCTGTGTAGTCAGTCATACTTTAGGCTGGCTTCCAGAAATACTCCTTTTCCCTCATGTTCATCTGAACACTCCTGAAAGTGCTGCACAGCATCAGAGAACTAAAAAAATGCAAGAGAGAAACCTCACACTGGTGCGTGTACTGCCTAGGACGTTCCTGGCATGCCTGTTTTTTCCTCCAGTGTTTTGTACTTCGCTAGTCAAATTTTGGTAGAAGGCTCAGCACAGTGGCCACTTGGTAGACCCCTGCTGTGGCACGCTCGGGGTTTGTGTATCTGTCTGCGTACCCAACACTGCTAACGGGGACTCCTTGACTTGCTGCCCACGTATTGTTGAGGCAAACCCACGGAAATTCAACCTCGATGCGACAGAGCTGGGTATCAGGAAAGCCTTTATCACGAGCACACGGCAGGTGGTCAGGGTAAGGAACATGGGCTTGGGGTGGGAGTGTGGGGAAGGCAGGGGTGAGTGATTAGGTGGTTAAAAAGAGGAAAGCTTGTGGCCATTTCTGTGCTGAAGTGGAGAGCAGAGAATAAACCTACTACCTGCTCTCTCTCAGGCTTCCTTCTCTTCCCCATGCACTCCCTCCTAGGGCTGCCCAGACAGGTTTGGGGCTGCGAGGGTGCAGGTAGCCCATGGCATACCCTCCTTTTCTGCTGCTGCCCCTTTGAGTCTTCATACCTGTCTTGCAACAGGGAGCCTGGGAACCTATAGAAACTGGGAAGGAAGAGTAAAGGACCCCGCTGCGATGCAGGGGAGGCTGGAGCCTCCCTTCAGAGTTGAAGGAAATCATGACTGTCCTGTGCTTTTGTAGCACTAGTTTTCAAAAACAGAGAGTCCACTTTGAACACTGACAGATGGTTAAAGCCTAGCATTGTTGACGTGGTGACTTCAACTTCCTACCACTACAAAATAGTCCAAACAACCACTAGATTTATTTTTAACTTGGGGAAGATTTTTTTTTTTTTTTTTTAGTTTAAGCTCACACTTCAGAAGCAAAAGGAGGATTATAACAACTTGGTGGTAATACATAGAGAAGAAACATCTTCTCAAAAGCTTCACTGCCTGGTAACAAGATGCTAGTTAGGAAGTTTTCTCCCTATTAATAGCTACACTGCATGTAGCTTAGTTTCTGCTGCACCTCGTGACTCTGATGTTCCTCCTTCACAAAATGCATTGCTGTGGCTGGCAGTAAGCTTGTTACCTTACCTGCAGTCCCTCAGTCTGGATGCAGTTCCTAAGGCTTGCTGCCTGGGAACTGATCCCAAAACCGCACTGGCCCCTGGTAGCAGGCAGGTGCTCGCTGCCTTGCCCTCAGTGTAGTCCACTCCCACATGGACAGGATCAGGCAAGCCCACTCTATGGTCCTTTTTTCCCCGACTGAAAACTGCTGGCTAATGGGTTTTGGAGCAGCGTCTCTTATTGCTATATGAAATTCATTAGTGGCATTACGCAGCTGACTTCCAGTTTCCAGGGGGAAATTCGTGATGCACAGCAGCATGTGCATTAGCCGGTGAGAAGTAACCAAGTGGGATCTGGTCCTCTTAGGCGATGTATTGCACGTCTCTGAACTGTAAAACATACCTAAATGTTCTGGTGACATCAGAACTGTGGTGGTGGATCAACCCCTGCTAGATTGTATTGACTACTTGCTAGTTGACCCTATAAAAACTAGACTACTTTACATTGTGATGGGGATCCTTCTGTGGCTAGTGAACTTAGCAGCAAAACTTAATTGATAAAAGAGAAGACGTAGGCACAGTTGGAGAGGATGGCCACAGGACAGGAAATCTATCTCATTCTATGCAATATAAAACCAGATGCAACTGGGAATAAAGTGCAGCAGGTTACAGGCTTCCAAGACCTTGAAGAACATGACTCTTCCTTACAGTCTATCAATGGGAACATTAGTTCAGTATTATACAAATCAAAGTGCTTCTGGTTGTAGTAGAGCAAAACCAGTAGTAAATAAGGAATATTTTCAAAATACCCCATTGCTGCTGATTCTAATATTATTAAAACGATAAACTGCATTGAAGCTTTCTACAGTATCCTTCTAGACTCTTCAAAACTGTACATTTTCAAAGAAAATCTCCTTTCCCTCACTCCCCCTAAAGAAGCCTTGCTGGGTATAGACAACCCTGTAGCACCCTGAAACTGCCTGTCACCTCAAATCCAATGCTCACATACTTCTTCTTTTGTTGAACAAACAGGAAATGAAGGATCAGATGTCAAACTCCTCCATGCAAGCACTGGCTGAAAGAAAGAACAGGCAGGTGAGAACCAGAAACGGGCAAGTTAAGTGAATGCAGTGGCTGGTACTTTAAGGAGTGAGGAGGATTTATCAGCTCTAGCAGCTGTTGTCTTAAGGTATGTGTTAGGTGAAACTTCCATTTTCACTTACTCTGAGGCCCCACATCGTAAGGTAGAGTGTGTAGCATTGATCAAAACTGCATAAAAGCTGTAACAATAGTATATACTGTCTGTAGTTCATCCCCTTAAAAATCTTTTTTCTGGGAAGGGGCTTGCATGCTGCAGCAAGGCTGTGCGTTTGAACCGTGTCTGTTTGCTGACCGAGAGCTGGTTCTTGCAGGCATGTTGCTGCCACTCTTTTCCAAGCCCGTCTCTCAAAGCAGTAAGTCAGCACTCGCCATCTGTCTCTGTCTTCAGATCTGGTTGTGTACAACTGTCAGTGTTGCATCATCCCACAGAAAGGGGAATCTCCCTCCTCCTCGGGGGGAACAGACTCAGAATCCATGTCAGTGAACGTAATCCTGTGCTCTGCTGTATTTAGGAGCTGAGATGCTGCAATACCCTTTCACACAGTTGCCTCTCTTAATAGCTAGCCATGTAAGAAGATGGAAGGAGTCTCAGGTTGTCTGCACTTGTAATCTAAGGAGTAGAAATAGATGCGGCTTGTGTTCCTTCCCAGCTGGCAGGGAGGCTGTAAGGAGAAAGTTGGTGTGTACTTCGTACAAGGAACTTACCTGACTGCATCAGTCTTACCATTTGTGGCATAAATGACAAACTGCAACAAGCTACTGGGAGGCACAGAGCTGATTCCTGAGCTTGTTACAGGGTTAATTGACATGCTTGGCAAACACTTGAAGAAGCAAAGTCCCTTATACCCTTGCTCAAAAAAACTCTGTAGCTGTCCCTGTGTTTTGCTGCTTTCCTTTGCGTGAAGTTCCTGCTAGCTGCAGGAGACCATATGGCCCAGCTTGTGTGGTGACATCTGGTCAGGAAAACTGACTTCCCCTTGCTGTCTTCCTTTCCCTTCCCCAGCCCCTTGCCTTCCCTCCAGACTGTGAAGCTTGTGCTGCACTGGGCTGCAGCAGCTTTTCCAGCATGTCTGAGAGGCTCACTGGCAACGACCTGACCCTCACAGGCTAAGGCTAGCAAACAGAGGCCTTTCTATTGAAGCTGCAGCAAAACTAGTGCACTGCGTTAAATAAGTGGTAGCTGCACTTGCCACGAACTGGAGAGAACCAGGAGCTTGCTCATTGTCTCGGGGGCAAAGCCAGATGTCCTGCTGGCTTCCTGCATGGACGGTCCATTGGCTTTCCTCACACCTCCTTGAACCTTGTAAGGCAGATGAATCATAGAGACAGTCTTGGTTTTAGCCTGCTGGCGCAGCCTTGTCATTGTCATGCTGTTCTTCAGAAATACTTGGTTGTCCCCTCCTGCCCACGACCAGAAGCTGCAAGGTGGTCTTGTTACAAGTCAGACTTGCCTCCATACTGGTGAACAGAGCTCCTTAGCCCACATGTAGTGCTGCAGGGTGCAGCTCCTCACCTGCAGGCCACTTTCATTCTCCAGCATCTGTCGCTCATGTTATACCCCTTCCAGGGACCAGACTTAACTCAGCTGGAAAGCCACATCTCTCCTGGCTTTCCACAAGCTTCTCTCTTCAGGTTGTAAAGCAGGTAGCAAGTCTAATCTTGTATGCTGGCAACTAAACAGTATGCTGGAGGAACAGGTAGCCTGAATCAAAGAACGTGAGCATATAACACTGCTGTGGTTATACATTGCACTGTTTTACCGTCAGCTCAACTGGTTAAATACTTTATCGAGACCTTCTTAAGTCCCTGTCATTAGTAGCACAGTGTTCAGTTCAAGCTATACATCTGTTAATACAGTATATCTGGATACTTCCCAGTTTACATGTCCTACCACACAGTGCTGCCTCTTGAGCAGACCTTTGCTAGTCCTTTGTGCTGTGCAGACCTCCTGCTTACACCGTCTGTTGGTCATACTCCAGAGGTATATCTGCAATATCAGGCTGCAGAGACTTCCCAGGCTGGCATTTTGGTAGTGCGTTGTTTAGTTCATGACAGCGTTCTGGCTGAGTAGCAATAGAGCGGGAGGAAAAGGATGCTGTATGCGTGTGTACAGGAATATTGCCTTGTCTGCCTTCCTGCTACACCCTGTAGACAGGCTGTGAGCAGACACAAGGGTGTTGCTAAGGGCTCTCTGCATCTGTTTAGGCACTCCTGGGAGAAAGTGGGAGTCAGAGTTGGGGCTCTGGACCTGACAAATACAGCCGTCTGGACCGGGAGCTGCAATTAGCAAATTCACACTTCATCGAGGAGCAGCAAGCTCAACAACAGGTAAGGCAGCTGGCACCACGTGGACTAAATAGCTTTGCTTGCCAAATGGGTGCAGGGGGGTGAGGTATGGGCTGCGAGAGCCAAAAAAAATTCAGTCCTTGGCTGGTCTGGATCCAGGAGCCTGACAGCCTTGCTGTTTGCTTGCAGCATATACCTATGCATGCATTTCCTGTACAGCACAGCTCTGGATGCATCTTGGTGCATAGTTTTTAACCCCTGAGGCCTGGGTCTTCTGCTTTGTACAGAAGGCAAACAGCATGATCTGGAAGATGTAGCATGCTAAGCTTTAGTACTACAAGGATTGCTGAAATCCTTGGAAGAGTAGAAACATTGCAAACTGAAAAGAGCCTCTTATGCAGCTTCCCCTGGTTAAAAAATGAGCTGATGTTTGCTGGTGTTTGTGTGCATCTTCATCAGAACAAGCTAGGAGCAGGAGCACGTGCCTGCTTCCTTTTCCTGCCTTTGTCAACATGAGATTCGTGAGAAAGCCTGTGCGAGGGCTTTGCGAGAACCCCTGGTGAGGTGCTTCCCCGCTGCTGAGGGATTTTGTCTGGAGAAGTGCCGGGCAGTGTGCAGACCCACGTGCAGCAGCCCACCCAAACACAGGCCTTTAAACAGGCAGCTTCTCAGAGGTGGCAAACTCTGCTAAAGCTCCTGACCCATGACGCTGCCCCAGCTTTCAGACAATTTTTACCTAGTGACTCTAAGAAGATAAATAGATTCAGAAATAGGTAACTAGGGTAAACCTAATCCTTAGTGTGACTGTGCCCTGAAAATGACTTAAAACATCAGCAGACCTATTCCTTTGGCACATTGAGAGCCAGGCTTGCTATTTTTAGCTGTAGAAGCTGCAACAGCCTTTTACTTGCATTAACCCCTTTTTACCTGCAGCATGTTCCAGGTTGCATTTCCCAGGCACAGCATCAGTGTGGCTCCCTGGTGACCGCTGCTGTACCCACTGCAGGCAGAGGGCCTTGTGGAGGTTTTGATGACTGGTCCCTGTGACTTTGAAGAGTTGCTTTAGCGGTGGGTGCAGCAGGGAAAGCAGGGGGCATGGCTGAGCTGAGGCTGCGTTTGCAGGGATGTCAGGAGACTGCAGCCTGCTGTGCTGCGGGGATGCCATGCCAGGGTGGCTTTCCTGCGGCTGTCGCTTCTCCAGCATTTCTTAGGAATTTGGTCCTCATTCCTGGTGGCTTAGATCTGTGCCCAGGCCCCGCAGCTGATGTTGGCTGAGCAGCGAGTGTCTGTCCACCAGATCAGCTGGCTCCGACCCAGCTGCAGGAGGCAGCAGACCTGTAATTGCCCATTTCCCTTCTCTTTGGCCCTAGTTGATTGTGGAGCAGCAAGATGAGCAGTTGGAGCTGGTCTCTGGCAGCATTGGGGTGCTGAAGAACATGTCCCAGCGCATTGGCGGGGAGCTGGAGGAGCAAGCAGTGTAAGTGTGAGACACAGCGCTGAAAACCCAGTGGGGTATGGGGCTGGCTGCAACACAGCTGGAGGTCCTCACACACATCTTTGCCCCTGTTAGGGCCTTGAATTTATTAGTCCCTCAGGCAGTCTCTCTTAGCCAGCCTTTGATTTTAGGCAGTGGAAAGCATTTCTTACAGCAGCCTGTAAGGATCCAACTGCGGTCTCATTTGTTTGAAAGCCTGCACCTAAGAAAGACTTAGCTTAGACTTCCTTCTCTCTGCTTTTTACATACTCTCCCTAAGGCACACAGTTAGCTCCTTGGCTTCAGGCAGCCAGCAGTACCAAACAGATGAGGGAAGGAGGTGCTGTGTAATGGGGATACTGGGTGCTTTCCCACTCCACAGGGTTTTGTGCTGCCCCTGGATAACTGCTTGACCTGGGAGTTCTCAGCTCTGTCTTGCCGCTCTGAAACATGCAGCACAGAGCTGCTATTCATAGTTAAAGCTAAAAATAACCCTCACCCACGCAAAGGGTTAAAGGGTAGCTCACAAAGTAATTTGCATCCATAATTTACGTATAAATTAGATTCCTTTCTCAGTTTTTGTCCTTTGCAAACAAGTGCATAAAGTTTCCAGTTATGCAGGCTAACAGCTACCACTTCCAGAGAGGCTTGAAGGGTTTGTGCCTAAAACCCCTCCTTATTTGGCTGACAGGAGTCTGGAGGACTATGTCCCTTGTGAAGTGATATTGTCTTTGATGGAGAGGACGAACTTTAAACCCACCTCCTGTATGAAGTCTTGCAGCATGAGAGTCTTCTCTCACGGAAGCTGATCATTGTGGTGTTTCTGTTTCCAGATCATCACGTAAGCCATCAGTGCTTGCTAGACAGTAGCAGATAACAACTGCAATGAGTTTTTTACAACTTTCTTTTTCCCCACTGAATGAAGGTTGAACAAGTGCCCTAGAACTCCAAGTGAAGGAGGCTGTCCTTTTAAATGTATTCAGCTTTAAAGTCCCGCTGGCTGGAGACGATTGGATTGGTACCTTGATTCTGGATGTGCTTGTTTCTCTTCAGTGGGTTCTTGGCATTGACAAAGCACAGCTTCAAGAAGGCTTTCAGATTCATTACAGTTGCTGTGTGGAGGAAGTAGAGGGGTAACTTCCATGCAGAGCTTAAAAAGCTGCTTAAAAGCAATTGCCAATCTCATTCCTGCTTGATACATGACCGGAACAAGATTTTAGCTTCAACTGCAAGCCTTGACCTGGCAATTAGATCTATCTAACCAGGCTCTGCTAATCACACATTATAAATGAGAATTACCTCTTAAAAAGAGGAAAAACCCCACTCCTTACCTTGCAGGGGTGCATATTGCTCAGCCATGAACACGCAGGGGGGACCAGTCCAACAGGTGTCCCAAATGACCTCCCATTTTCCACCAAAGCAGAGCTGCTGCTTCAGCAGGCTTTTTTGCCTACCTTGAGTGCTTTCAGGAGATGGGGCTATGTTCATTTTCTCTGCCAAGGTGTGATACACTGATCACATCAGTGTTTAGATCAGCATGTGTGAGCGCACTGAGAAATCCTGAAGGGACATGGGATGTGCTGCTTGCTGACAAATGCCGTGCTTCTCTGTCCCCAGGATGCTGGACGACTTCTCCCATGAGTTAGACAGCACTCAGTCGCGGCTTGATAACGTCATGAAGAAGCTCGCCAAAGTGTCTCACATGACAAGCGGTAGGTCCAGGGAAGTGGGATCCAGTCCTGGAAAGGGAGGCAAGCCCTGGGATCTTCGAGCTGGGACGCTACATGCTCCCACCCACTGACAGCCATCCCAGACCCGAGCAGAGGGGAGGGAGAAGACTTCCAAGCCCTGCAGCTCCTCCTGCCCAGACACTGCTCTGCAGCCTGTCCTTTGCCTTTGTTTTATTTACAGATGCCTTTCTATTTATGCTGCTGCTGCCGCGGTGGGAAAATCCCCCTCTAGATGGTAGGAGGGGCAGCTCTGCAGACTCCTGCTCTGCTGCAGTTTCCCGGGCTGCCTGCCGAACAAAAGCTTTAAAGGTGCCATAAAACACTCGCCACTGTGTGTGGCTTCCCCTGCACCAAACGCTTGCCTGCAGCAAGCCCCTTCCCAAATCTCACCCGCCCCCGGGCTGCTGGCGCCTGCCGGCCTGCAGGCCTGTTGTCAGTCAGATATATCTCTCAGCTGGCAGGGGAAAGAGGCGATTTCTGTGCTGGAGGGGAGGCTGAACCCATGAGAAAAGTCCTTATAAGGCTGTGCCTGAAGCCGGTGGGCTGGCAGGGCGCCGCGGGCAGAGCAAACAGGAAGCCCAGCGTGCCTGCCGGGAAGTCCCTCGCCGCCGGCTTGCCTCTCTGAGCCCTGGCAGTGCGCCCGGCAGTCGCTTCCTCTGTTACCCCTCTCCCGTGAGTGCTCAGGTAGCTTGTGGAGGCAGCAGCAAGTCAGGAGAAGTGTTCCTGCTCTGCAGGATTAGGCTGGCCAAGGGATTTATGAGGTGGTGGAAATACAGCCCTAGAGAGACCATTTGTAGTGCTGGCAGTGCACTTCGGGGTCACCAGTAGCCCAGTGGTGGCATGACTGCTGGCAAACCTCACGTGTCTCCCCTGTCCTCTGAGAAAAACGCTTTGATCGTTGCAGAGTGCTTCTGAGAGTTGTGAAAGAGCATTTCTGCTATCCCTGGCATAGCATGCGCCGGGGCTGACCAGGAAGACTCTTCCTGGGGTAGCCGCTGTGCCCAGAAGTTGGGGGGTGCCAGCAGCCCTGTCTTCCCTTCTGCACCATCGTGTTGCAGGGGCTTTCCCTCTGCCATCACAGACGTGGCCATGGACAGATAGCAGCTCTCAGAGGCGATGTAGCATTGAGCTTCTGCAGACTGTGCACGGGGCCAGCAAGGTGTAAAGACGTCAGGGGAAACCTCATTCCTGGCACTCTCCTAAGGGGAGCTGCCACAAGCTCTTCCTGGCAGAGCTCTTTTGGGCAGCTTTCACCAGACCCCTTCTTGTTCCTTTAGCAAACAGGTTAGTCCACAAATGAGCAGCAACGCACAGAAGCTCTCTACTTGTTCCTCCTGGTTGCTTTTGAACTGGCTTAATCAAATCTGTTTGAACTTGGTTGCGGAGAAGCCTCAAAATTCCCACAGCTGTCCCCAAAAATGGATATATACTGGAGGAGAAATACTGTTGCCCCGTGGGCTGCAGTGGGGCATGCTGCCAAAGGAGCCACTGCTTTGGCTTTTTTTGGCTTCTTTAAGCTTAAATTGGGCTTCTAGCAGTACAGCGAAGAAAAGCTCTCCCCTGATTTTCCTTCCCCGTTAAAGCAGGAAGGCTGATGCTTCCTTTTCCTTCCAGATCGACGGCAGTGGTGTGCAATTATTGTCCTCTTCGTCATCTTGCTGGTGGTGCTCATCCTGTTTTTCGTCCTGTGATGGACTGAACTTCCTCGGACGCCCCCTCCCCGCCCCCTTGCCCCCGTAGCACGGGGAAATGAAACTCTCACCATTTCCGTCCGCCCACAGAGATCCCCAGCAAGAAAACCCGCAGCCAGCTCTCGCCGTTCTCCTCTGAGGACCACGGCTCGGCTCCGCCGGCATCTCACCTGGCCCTGGGGAGAGGGGGTGGAGGAGTGGAGCTGCCTCCTCCCCTGGTGCGGTGTGATCTGGACCTGGGCTCCAGGTCTGGACCTAGGCAGCTGGAGGGGGACTTGGCCCCTGCGCTTCCACCCTGTGCAGGTAGGAGCCAGTTGCAGTGGTCCCAAGCCGCCTGCAGTCGGATGCAGACACAGAGCAGCGAGCCCTGGGGAGGATGGGATGGGGGAGGAATTAATTATTTCACTGAGCATTACAAACCACATTGCCAGCCCACGGGTGCTTGCCAGCCAAAAGCATTACCGGGAGGAACGGTGGCGTGAAAACCCACGCAGCCACGGCAAGGGAGGGGAGCCCTGGCCGAACTCCCCCTGCCCCATGCTGCCTTCCTCCCGTGAGCCGGCTCTGTGCTGCCAACTTACTGCCGAGATACCATGGTGAGTCTGCAGCAAAGCATTCACATCCACCACCCCTTGGCAGAAGCTTACATGCAGGTGAGCCGTAGGGTGTAGTGTCCTGCCATTGGTTGGTCGGGTGCGATTAGAAACCCCAGAGCTTTAAACTTGGGTTGATGCACGCTGAGAGCTGGCAAACAACCATTAGCCAGAGTGAGTTTCTTAAAGCTTTTAAAATTGCCTCCTTTGTTATACAAGCCTCTAAAGCTCATTGACTGATGCTTTCTTTGCTCTTGTATAACTGAGTAACTGCTTCTGTTTAACAGCTGCTTCCCTTTGGCAAGTGATTTGTCAGGTCTAAAATAACTTATTTTTTTTAAGAAAAAAAAAAACTTTAAAGATTTTTTTGATGACCGTTTGAGCCACGTTCTCTCTGCGGGTGCACGACATGCATTATCAGAGGAATGGGGCTCAGTTATGTATTTCAAGTGCATATGAACTTGTAAATAGGATGTCTTAATTTTTCCCAACTGCTGTTTTTTGGACACCTCTGTTGTAAGCAACCAAAGGGCAGGAAGGAGATTCAAAGCTAGGTCACGTTTCTGTGTGACTTCCCGGTCCTTTTGTTACCTTTGAGTTGTTCATCACTCGAGTTGTCTCGGCAGTGTCAGATAGCCTAGTTGTCTCCCTTGTACAGTGAATTAGGAGTTTGCCAGGTGGTTGATAGCAAAATGTGGTGAAGAAAGCCCACCCTGGCAGAATCACTGGGGAGAAACACAGACAGGGGTTTCATGCTGCAAACCTTGGTTGCAGGGTATGGGGTGACTCTTCAGGAAAGCAAAAATGATTTCTTACTAAAGTTTGTTCCCATATTTATGTTGCAAACACCAGAAGACTTGGGACAGGCTGGCTTACGCCTCCCATCTGGGTCTCAGATGGGGCTAGGGGAGGAAGTTAATTGGTGCTGACGCTAAGACTTCTCCTGAAATTGCAAATTGGCCCCCAAAAGTCCTACTCCCTGAGCGGGAAGTTTACCACCAGACGGCTTTACCTCCCGGATGCTTAGCCTGGACTGAAGACTCCTCCCCAGTGGGTTTGTGGCTCCCTTCAAGCGGCTGTGTGATCCCCCCTGTCCCCTCCGCAGGTGCCAGGCACTGACAGCCAGCGGCACCGTGCCTTCCGCAGCTGGCCACCAGACTTGAGGGGGGCAAGACGGAGCTGCCCTGCTGCGCCTGCTCTCATCATTAACGCACACGTGCCCTGAGCGCCAGCCCGCACTAATTATTTCAGCAGTTGCTCTTTATCCTTGCAGAGCACCTCGTTTCTTTTGGTTATGCTGCAAGAAATACACGGGGTGTCTCCTTTCCAAGGCTGGCTATCGCAGTGTCTGTGTGGCTCCTTGGGCTTCGTACCTCTCCAAGAGCAGGTTCCCAGGAGCGCGAGTCCGACCAGCGAGCAGGGCTCGCCGTTGGCCGGTATTTGCACACCTCCAATCCTCACGTTGTTTTCGGCGTGGTCGTGCATCCTCTGGGAGCAGCTCCTGGTGCTCCGTGCAGGACCGTTCCTTCATTAGTCTGGCGTACTGCTGGAGGGTGGCCCAGCTGCTGGCATCACCGCAAGCCACCAAACTGTCTTTGGTCCCTTTTACTGCATACATTTGCTTTTTCTGTTGTTGTTGGTGCCCCTCCCTTTAACACTAAATAAATGCATTACTGCTGCCCAGCGTGGCGCAGCAGAGATCACCCGTCGTTCTGGCAGTGACCTTTGCTTGGGGACAAGCTGGAGTGGGGGGAGGGAGGTGTCTCCCAGCACTGGGTAGCAGGAAAAGCTCCCACCAGCATCTGCTGGGCATCACCCTCCTGGCTTTTATGGCTTAAGTGGCTGCTGCAGTTTCTGGGGTCCCCTGTGCACCACGGACAGCTGCTGCCCAGATGTGGGGGATGCTGCAGGCAGCCGCTGCCCAGATGTGGGGGCACCACCATGCAGAGGGCAGCCATTGCTGCCGTGCCTCCTCCGCTTGCCGGCCTTGGCGCCTGCCGGAGAGGCTTGTCCCTGTGCAGCCGCCCCGGCGCCATGGCATGCGTTTCCCCTTCCGTGGCTGGAAAAAACAAAACCCCCAAATCAGCAGCAGGAGCGCAGACCCCTCTCATTAGCAATGGATACTTGCAGGCACGTCCCCACGGTTGTCCCAGCAGTGCTGGCAGGAGGAGGAGAGCAGCCCTGTCACCCCCTGCTCCCCCCCGCCAGCCCACCGTGCTGCTCACTGGAGCAGGGAAGGGGGGGGGGGTTATGCTCTTCAAGAAGCAGCACTGCAGGCAGCTCAGCTCCCCAGCCCCCGTCCCACCACAACACAGTCCGGAGGTGGCTGTTAGAGTGGGCCATGGGAAACCAGGCAGCAAAGACCCTGAGCACATCCAGAGACACCCCCCCCCCCCCCCCAAGAGCCTGCCTGGGGGTGGCAACAGGGAGCCCCACCCCCAGCTTTCCAGGGAGCGTTGTCCCCCCAGGGATGCCCTTTCCGCCCTGTCCCCATTTCCCCACCCCACAGACCAGACAGGTCCTTGGGCCCCCAAAGAGCTCTTCCTGCTCTCAGCTGACAGCATCCCAGCTCTGCCGGTCCCAGGACCATGCGCCATGCCACCCTGCAGCCAGCACATGCGTTCAGTGCCCCAGACAAGTCCCCACCATGGTTACACCAGCCCTGAGGGGCTCAGCCCCATGTGAAGGCACCCACACGCTCCCCAGTACCTAGACCTGACCCCAGCTCCCACATCCACTAGCAGCCCCATGACCCTGGGGCTGGGGCATGTCCCGTCCCCCTGGCCAATTGTCACCCCCCCCCAGCCCCTCCGTGCCACCCGCAAGCCCAGGGCACCATATTTTGTGATTAGATTTTTTTTTTTTTCCAGTTTGAAATAATTTAAAAGAAACCCACCAGCCCGCAGGCACAGGTTTTCAGCGGTGGCAGGGAACGCCACATCTCCTGGGGATGCGGGGATGGGGCATCCCCATGCTGGCCACCCCAGTGCCCAGCAGGACAGACCCCCACTGGCTGGATGACACAGCTGGGCTGTCCCCTGTCCCCACACTTGGGGCAGCTCCTGAAGACTCTAGACACTGTGGGGGGGTCCTTGGTCCCACTCTGGCTCCTGGGGGGGACTGGGAAACCCGCCTGCCCCCACCGCAGCAGGTAGCCAAGTACTGCACTGGAGTGGGGCAGGTCCTGGCACCGCGGGGCAGCTTGGTCCATGCCACACCATCCTGCAGCATCCCAGGACGCCGTCATCCTCCTCCCACTGGGCTTCCCGGGAGCTGTGCCAGGGCTACCGGGGTGCCGGTCGGTGCCTGAGCACGCGGAGGGACAGGGTGTCTGCCTGGAGCAGCAGCTCACGGATACGGGCCAGCCCCAGCCCCGAGACGGCCACCCCATTGACCTGCAGGATCTCGTCCCCCACGCCCAGGAGCCCCGCGTACAGCTTGGCCGTGCCGGCGTCCGTCATCTCCTGCACGTAGACACCTGTGGAGAGGGACGGGGCAGGTGAGCCCCCCATCCTGCACCCCATGGCCGGGGCTGTGCCCCCTAGGGGTACCCGGGGGCTGCACACTGGGCCCATGCACAGCAACAACTTCACTGTAAATGGCTTTTGGGACAGGCTGCGTGCCCCAAGCCAAGGACTGATGGACACATGGGACTGTGCGCGGCCAAAGCTGCACGTGATAGCGTCCCCATGTCCACCGTCACCCCTCTGGGGCTCAGCGGGGATGGAGCAGCCCCCTCCACCCGTCTCCAAGCTCGCTTCTGGAATGGGACAAGAGCCACCGCGGAGGGGCCATGCCGTGCCTCCCCAAAGGTTCATGTGACACTTTGGGACAACCCCACCGTACCCGTGTCAGGCCGGCCGTGCCCAGAGGTGACGCAAAACCCGAAGGCGCCGTGGGGGGGTCGCTGCAGCTCCAGCTGGCTGGTTCCATCGGGGAAGACCTCCACCACACGCCCCACCGCACGCAGCCGGCCGGGGACCCCGATGTCCTCCACGCTCAGCGAGCGCCGCGGTCCTGAACTCCCCTTCCTGCCGGGAGAGGGAAGATGGGGTGAGCAGGGACCCCAGGAAGATGCTGGGGACCAGGTGATGGGGTCCCCGGCTGCACCAAGCCACTGTGTGTGGCGGAGCACCCCGAAACAGCCTTACTGGGCACAGAAGCACCTGGGCATCTACCTGTCAGCTGCGGTCTGGGGCAGGAGGTAGGCACTAGCACGGGGTGCCTTGCCCAGGAAGGGGTGCAGGCTCTGGACAGAGACGGCTTTTTGGGGCTGGCAGAAGGGCGACACCTGAGGAAAAGCATACGGTTGAGATGGGGACAACCGCCAACGTTGTGCAGCTCCGCAGCCCTTCACCCACTGACGTGCCGAGGGAGTGGGGGGCATTCCTCACCCCCCTTGTCCCCCCGCCAGAGCCCTCGCCAAACCACCGCTGAGGCGGGATAAGCTGGTGTCCCCTGCTCTAGGCCAGGACACCCACCCAAGAAGCAGGGTTTCTTGGTGAGGCACCTCACTTCTCAGCTAGCTGGGACACACGAGCCATGATCCCGAATCAAATTACCCCACCTCCCCTCCCCAAATCTGCTCT